CAGCAGGAGGGTTGGACTAGATGATCTCCCGAGGTCCCTTCCAACCCTTGCCATTCTGTGACTCTGTGAAAGGGGTGAATGAGCTCGCCTGGTGGCTCTGGTGGTGTCAGCCCAGGATTATCAGTGTTTATATGCAGAGGGAGCTCTCCCACTGAGGCTGCTCCATGCATAGCAGCATCTTCCCTCCTCCTCCTATTCCTCCGTGCCAAAGGGAAACTCATTGGGGGTTTGTTCTTTATTGCATTCAACATATCTTTACTTTTTCTTTTTGTTTGTTTGGGGTTTTTTTGGCTTACAGCCAGCTTCCCAAATCATCTGTCTCATCCTGGGCATGGTGAGTAAAGCCAAGACACAGGCACAGCCCTGACCTGGTGCCAGGCTTGTTGCAGGAGCTCATTCGGGGCCTGGGCTGCCCTGGCACAGCATGCAGTGGGCTTTTCTGCTGGGAAACCTGCTCAGGACACCACAATAAATTAAAAATAAGGTTATATCCAAATTGCAGCCAAGCTCCTCTGGGCAAGGAATGGGAGGCAGCAGCTTTTGGTGGCCGTGTCACAAGCTGGGGTGCACGTCCCTGCTTCTCCATCAGGACCTGCTGTTGGAAAGTTCAGACCCCACAGCCCAGCTGGTATTATGAGAATTTGGATGTTGGCCTTTTTTTGGATGCTGAAGAGCTCTGGCAGGGTGACTGCTCATCAGTGAGGTTGGTGCGTGGTCTGGCTCCCCTCCCAGTAGCCTGAGAAATGCTGCCTTGCCCTGGGCAAGAGTGGGAGGGATGGAGGCTCGGGATGCAGGCAGCTCCCAACACCTTCCCACCCCTTCTCTTGGCTCAGCACCCTCCTGCGTTCCCTCCCCATTGTCACACAGGGATTCACTCCAGCCAAGAAAACAGCAGCCCCAGGCAGTGGTGGTGCAGCCTTGCACAATCCTCACCAGCCCTTGAAAGGAAAGTGGGGCCGGGCAGGGATGCCAGGCAGGGATGCTGCCTCCCGCCATCGGCTCTAGCTCTGGGCATCGCCGGAGGGGTCCGGTGTTAAACCCCTGCCAGGCATTAAAGGGTTGTCCCAGACCCCTGGATTAAAGCGTAAATGTCCTTGGGGGTGGTGAGGGCTGGATGCAGCCACAGCAGGCAGGTTGCAGTGGTCACTGGCTCCCAGGCTAGCAATGTCTAAGCAATTTGCTTTGCAGCTCCAGCACCTGTGACTGTTAAATGCCCAAACCTGGGGAACCCAGGGGACCTCCAAAGAGCATCATCAGACTGTTTTAAAAATACTTTATTCTTTAGAAAATACAGCGTTCACACTGGTACCCAGCAGCAAGGTGCTCTCCTTCCCCAACCCTCAGCAAAGCCTAATCTGCAGCACCGAGCTTGGCCCTTAGAGCTGGTGACAGCCCTTGGTGGCCGGGGACATCCCCGGGGGGGGAGGGCACGCAGGGGCTGTCACACTTCCCCACACAAGGATTTGGGGTAGCCGATGTGATTTTTAAGACACAGGGCTGCCTCAGACCAGAGAGCCAGCAGCAAACCAGGGGGGTGATGGTGGGGACTGGGGTATGTGGAAGGGGGACACACACCAGGTTCAGGGCCCCCCTGGCTCCCATCCTAAACAGCAATAGGGCTGAGTCAGGGCTGTAACAGCTCCCTCCGAGGGGAAAAAGCCTTACTGGGGCGGTTCAAAAAGGGGATGCAAACATTGCCCAAAGACAGAGCAACCTTTCTCCAGGGCCAGGATGAGCTCAGGACTGGAGGGGACCTCCCGGCTCCCCTCAGGGACAAACTCCTGCAGCAAAGCCCACCCTGCAGGGAGGGTCCTGCCCACACCCTGAGGGGGTGCAGGATCACTCCAGGCCTGGGGCAGAGGGGCCGTGCACACCTAGAGTGGGACAAGGGAGCAAAATCTGGGGGCTGGGGGAGCAGGGAAAGAAGCGTTTTCTCTTTTCAGACAGGAATCCCCAACGCCATCCCCTTCCCTTTGCATAGAGCAGCTTGCAGGCAAGTGTGTCCTTCAGTCACCCAGGGGACACCAAAGGCAGCGGCTGAGACCCTGGGGGGGACAGGAGCAAGGCTGGGGGACACAACCCTGCTGCTCCCATCCTCCTCCGGCAGCCCCGGGGCTTGCACAAGTAAGCAGGGAAAAGAAACACCAACAACCCCAAACCCTCCCCATCGCTCTGCCCCCAGGTGCAACAAGCCATCCTGATGTTTAAAAAAAGGAATGAAATAGGAAAAAGAAGGGCAGGAAAAAAAAACAATAGGCTGAGATGGAGGGAAAGATCCCCAGGTCAGCGGAGAGGAAGCTGGGAAGCGCCGCGGGGATGCTGTCCGTTCACTGCCCAGTCCTGCGGGATCTAACTGTCCTCGCCGTTCTCGCCTGGCCCCTTGATCAGCCGCTTCTGTCCCCGTTTGCCCACAGGCCCCTTGGGCTTGGCAAAGGCCTGCTTGAAGGCATGCTGCTTGGGGTGCACCTCCTCGTAGAGGAACTCCGCCGTCAGCTCGGCTCCATCGTCGATCTCGATCTGCATCCAGGAGCAGCAAGCAGGGGTTAGCAGCTCCCTGGGATCTGGAGACCCACCTCTGGGGCACCCAACTCCCCCCTGAGCCCACTGGTGGGGCTGGACCAAGGCTGCGGCACAGTCCCTTGTGGATGCCCGGCACGGGTCTCTGCTCCATCATTTCCAGGTGGGCTCACGCTTACCTTCTTGGCGATCTCCAGGCAAAACTCCTGCTCCACAGTGTCCAGCAATCGGCTCTTGCAGCTGGAGTAGAGCATGCGCTCCTTGATGCTGCATTTGTACCCAGGCATGGAGTAGATGAAGACTGCAAGAGAGCAGGGCTTGCGGCACTGCCCAGGCTCATGGCCAGGGAGCACCAAGCAGCTACATCCCACCCTGGTCATGGCTTTTCCAGCCCTGAGAGTCCCAGTCTACTCAGCAACAGAAGGTGAGCCATCCCATCCATCACCCCTCCCCAAATCTCTCCTAGTACACCTGCGACACAATGGCTACCAAACCCCCCGCACAAATCCTCTGTGGCAGCACCCGGAGTGCCCTGCACCGCATGTGGCAGCTTCTTTCAGTGCCAAAGGGTTTGCCAGCATCCACCATGGGAGGACAGCAAGTGGGAACCAACTCAAGGTCCCCTGACCCACCATCCCCACCCCCACTCGCTCTCCATGCAGGGGATGGTCCAGGGAGAACGGGGACCAGCACAGGCTCTAACCAGCCATCGCCAGTGCCAGGGCACTCACCAACAGACTCCAGGTAGTCTCCCTCATGTGAGTGCTTGTACAGGAAGAAATGGTAGCGAGCAGAGTCCTGGGGGATCCTCTTGGGCAGGTCAGCGATCTCCGTGGGGCTCGTGTGCACCAGGTCAATGGTCTCCCTCTCCAGATCCAGCTTCTGATGGACAGAGGGGTTGGGGGAGTGGACAGGAGTGAGAGGTGGCAGGGGGAGTGGGGTGCAGGGGAGCCACGCGAGGGACCTACCAGCTGGATGTAGTTGATTTTCTTCTGCTTGAGCGCCTGGATAGCTTGCTGAGCATCCAACTGCAGGGGGAAGGCCAGGCCCTGTAGGGTCTGGTGCTTGCTCTCCACGCTGATCTCCGTCTTCACCTGGGGATGGAGACCACCCCGAGCATCAGGGCAGAGACCGACAAAGTGTGGGGAAGGGAGAGAAAGGAAAACCAGCCAGTGCTGCGGCTAAAGGCTTCTCATCCAAGGAGCCACCTGACACCTGGCTCATGGGGACCACAGCATTTTAAACCACCAAGAAGTCAGCCAGGCTCAGGGCGGCGATGCTTGTCACTGTACTGCCACACCGGGAGATCACCCGGCCTCAGCCCTGCACCCCCACACCCCCCACACTTCACTCCCAGCAAAGACCATCTCAAATCCAATGTTTCCCAGCGAGACCCTGGCAGGGGTGCTGTGACCAACACTGGCACATGTCCATCTCTGCTCATCTCCCACCACGACCTGCAGGTGATGGGGAGAGCCCTGAAATCACATCATTCAACTGCATGGGTCCCCATCGGTGGGGAGGGCAAGCCCCTCCTCGGGGGGTTTAGCTGCAGCAGACAGGCAGCCCCTCCGACGCTGGAGCTGGGGAACTGAAGATCCACAGCTCAGAAAGATCCTGGCTGCTGTTTTCCCCTGCAACCCCTGCAAGGCAGAGGCTGCTGCCCACACCCCAAGCAAACCCCTTACTCCAGGAGACTGAACCCCACTTCAGAGAGGGAAGAGAGGCTGTGGAGACATCACATCACCCCGGGCACTTCCATCCTGAGCGGAGCTGCAACCGGGGTGTCCCTGTCCGGGACTGGAGGGTGCCAAGAGCTGGCAGCAGGGAAGGGGGTGCAGGACGCGGCAGGCGCAGCATACCTCCTTGGGACCGGGGTACTCTACCAGCGATGGGCAGCAGCAACAGCCCCCCACCATCTGCCACAGAATACAGGGAGACGGCGTCACCCCGATGGTGGAGGAGCTCATCCCCACCTCCAAACCCGCCGCCTCCCCGGACCCCCAGATAAAGAGTCCGGCAACGCTAACCCGGGTGCTCTGCAGCGAGCATGAGTCCCTTTCCTTTGGGATCAGTTTGGGGAATTTTGGATAAAGACAATCCAGCCTTTTTTTTTTTTTTTTTTTCCTCCCCCTGATAGAGAAAAGGAAGAAAAATCAAGGCATGCCAAGAGAAACACAGGAGTTTTAAGCTCACATCTCAAAAAACAGCTTGGCAGCACCAAAGTGGATCTCATTACAAGGCTGCCCTTCGTCACAGCAGCCCCGCACAGTCCCCACACCCCGGGAGGTGAGGGACCCGGGGTGCCTGGAGCAGAGCATGCAGAAAAACACCACCAGGAGAAGGAAAACAGGGCATCAAGCGGGCAGAGCAGCCTACCATCTCGGTGCTCGAGTCCTGGGAACGGGAATCCTGAGAGCGTGGGGAGAGGAGACACACCATCAACGGCACCCCGCACAGGGACAAAGGGGGGTCTCCTGTGACACGAGAAGGGAAAGGGGACACACGGACATGCCAGGAGGATGGAGGCATACCATCTCTCTGCTGGAGGCCAGGGAAGGCAAGTCCTGGCAGCACAGGCAGAGAGAATGGCAAAAAATGACACGGGAGACATCAGCGCTGGGGAGGAGCGGGAGGGAGAGCCCCAGTCCCGAGCCCTGGCAGCCTGCATGCGATGTCTCCGCCGACGTCCCCGCGCAGAGCCCATCCCTGCCCCATCTCCTGCCAGCTCCCCAGCCAGGGTGGCCCCAGCCCAGGATCTGCAGGATTTTCAGTAGTCGCAGCAGCAGATTTTGGGCTATCCTCCACCCAACAGCGTATACTAAAGGTCTGCGGGGGGAAAAAAATGCACAAGCCTCTATCTGTGCCAAGCATCCTGGAGGACACACAGGGTGCAGATGTGCAGCACTAGGGAAATAATTGTTTGAGGGTCGTCCAGTGCCAGGTGGGCTGACCTCCAAGCTCTGCTGGCCGGCTGTCCCCCGGGTGCTGTGGCACCAGCAAGGCCCCGAGGACAAGCGTGCAGGGGTTCAGAGGATGCAGACAAGCTCACCTGGTCCTACCCTGTGGAGAGGTGTGGCACAAGGGCATTACCACTGCCAGCACCTCCAGGTCCTCATCTTTCTCCTCAGCAAGAAGGCAGCAGGACCAGAGAGCTAAAGTTGCGACACAAAGCACCCCAAAGTCCAAAAATCCCGAGAGGTGGAAAGTTGTCTTAGCAATGTCAACTCCCCGTACACCTCTGTATTTTCTACTCCTTCCCCTTTTCAAAAACATTAAGAACTGGCTCACTGAAGCACTCCCCAGGGCACAGCCCGGGAGCCGTGCATGTGCCACATCCCATCCCCCCAGCCTCGCTGGCAGCAGGCTTGGCTGGGGGGTATTTTAACTCCTTGTCTTTAGGTTAGTTTTTCCCTCCCTCTTTCCTCATTGCTGGCACAGTGCTGACCTTGGCTAACGAGCATTTCTTTATCTTATGGTGAAACCTTCGGCGGGGCGGGGGAGTTCTGGCAAAGCCTCTGCTCTACCCACCCACCAAGACGAGCTACGAACAACACCCCCTTACATACTGCAATGGCACGGAGGCCCTTTACTTCCTCTTAATTCTTCTGCCTCACCCCCCAGCTCCGAAGCCGCATTCCTCTCCCCCATGGCCCCATGATGAGATATGCCTGGCTCCCCTCCGCGCTCCCAAGCCTGAGATGCTTCTAGAAAGACCTCCCACTCGTGGGCGTTAAGGTAGCTCAGTTCCCAGTTCAAAGCCATTTCTTAGCCCACGGTCTGCTGACAACTTCCAGCTCAGTAAAGCTGGCGAGGCGTTTTCCAGCTATTTAGAATATATATACACACATATACATAAAGCAAATGGCAAATTTTTGCAAGCTCCCACCCAACTATTGCGAGGGGGAATAGCTCACGATATCGCCTCTGTCCATGTAATCCTCAAACCACAGGGAAAGCCTGGCTCATGCAGCCTAAAACCTGCTTTGCCAAAGGATGGGCAGCCTGCTGGGGGGACACACAAGCCTGAGTCCTTCCTGTCTCGGTGTAAAAGGCTGCTGTGTCAGCCCTGAAGCCACTGCCATGCAGTCATTGCCCTCCCCTCTCCTGCTTTGCTGCTGCCCTTCTCCTCCCACCCCTTCTCCCCACTCAGTGGTCGAGGAGGATCCCAGGCAGCTTCTGCTGGCCCAGAAAAGCAGCCACCTTCGGGATGAAGACTGCAAACCTGGTCAACATCTCGGAGGGTCATGCATCAACAGCACTGGAGGAGAGCTGCACCAGCAGCAGCTCCGGGCAAGGGGCACACAAAGCACTTGTGAGATGGTGGCTTTTAAAGTCCCTTGTGTCACTTCCAAAATCCTGACGGATTGGTTGAACCCAGGGGGACACACAGGGTCCTGAATTTTTTTATATGCAGAGGTGCTGAGGTCAGGGCTTGCCCAGGGACTGTTTCCCAGGTCACTGCCAGCCCTGACTGCTCGCTCCCATGCCCTGGATCTGCTCCCCCACATGAAACTGAAACGTGCACACACATGCAAGGACCCTGCAGCCTGTGCACAACATGCACGCACATGCAAGGATCCTGTAAGCCTGCACACAACATGCACACGTGTGCAAGGACACCCTCAGCCTGCGCACAACGTGCATGAATGTGCAAGGATCCTGTAAGCCTGCAGGCAACGTGCAAGGCTGGAGGCATCGCTGTGCTGAGCAGGGTGCTGCTGCAGGCTGAGAGCTGCTCCCACATAGCTCCTCTCAGTGAAAGCCCTCTGCTTCGCATGGCTCCAGAAACTCACTCAAAGCTTCATTTACTGTAAAGTGGTGAGTTTTCCCCTTCCCGAGGAGGTGAGCATGGTGCCAAGCTCCCGAGCTGTAGCTCCCACCACCTCCTGCTCTGTGCCTGGGTCTGGGTGGGTACAGCCCCCACACCAACACAGAGACGCTTCAGTAGAGCCAGTGCTCAGCTGCTTCCCACCTTTAAATCCACAGGCAAAAAAAGATCAATTTTATTCTCTTCCTAAATGCCAGTGGCTGCTCCCCATGACCCGGGCTGACACAGGGGACAGCATTCCTTTAAAATAAACCCCTACCAAACCAAACTGCAGCAGCACCTTCACCCAGGTGCCGCATCTCACAAAGGCAAGGGTGGGAAGCAGAGCACAGCAGGTCAACTGGAAAACAAGCACCGTGAGCACCACTTATCTGGGCACTGTACCCTGCAAGACACAGCCCGAAAAAAAAAGCCCAAAACTACTTAATCTTGCAGCACTGGCCAGCCAAGGCAATGGCACAGACACCCAAGGTGCCAAACAAGTCATGGAGCCACCATGAGTATCCATTTCTCTTTTCCCCAAGCGTGGGCATCCCCTTGGATGCTCCTGCCCAAATGCTGCTCAGCTCCTCCAGGCTGGGAGCTGGAGCTGGGACAATCATGCCAAGACCCACGCAGTGGAGACCACCCCTTGGTGGCATCTCCCAAACGCCCCTCAACTCTGCCGCCCCCAGACCTGCTCTGGCAGGTGGAAACCTCCTGCCTCATCTTTGCCATTAATTAACACCATCGGGCTGATTAGCTTCATGTCTCCCAGGCACATCCTGATCCATCCACGAGCCCCACAACCCCAGCACAGGACAAAGAGGAAGGGATACTCTACAGAGGAAGACTTTCCATGGCATGATCCCAGCCCCAAAAAATACTGCTTCCAGGCGACCTTCCCACCAGCAAGCCGATCCCCTTCTCTGCCTCGGTGTTTCACAGCACCATGGAGGTTGGCACAACTGCCGCGAGATGCCAGTGGGAAGATGATGTTGTTACACCCTTGTCTGCCTCCAACCCTACCCTGTGCCACTTCCACATCTTTCCAGCACAGAAGCCCCCAATTTTAGGCTAAGACCTCTTTTTTGGGACAGCATCCCTCATATTTATAGCCATAGAGTATGGGAAAGGGGGCTGCTGCAGCCCAAAGATAAGCCTGAATTCTTCCTGCCTCTCCTGCAAATTCAGACTCAGGTCTGGCTTTTGCCCCAGTACTGAGAGGTGGGAGACTGCTGCCTGCTTTCAGCCTCAAACTGTCTTCTGACTGCCAAGCGAAACAGAGCCCTGAGCTCATGTCCTAGCAAAGGAAAAAAAGTAGTCTGCAAATTCCTTTTCACACCACCGATTTGACCGTGAGGATGCTCAGTCCACCTTGGCAAGGGCAGGAATGGGTTAAACTGCAGAGATGTGAGGGAGCGCAGTCAAAATGAGCCATCCCTTCTAGCTGGATGCTGGCTCCCACACCTCCAGCAGCAAACATGTCCCTGTGTCCAGCATCCCTGTGCACCCCGAGGGCCTCGGGCTCCTTCTCCCTGGGCCAGTGGGCACCCACCTCGTTGATGCGGATCTGCTGGAGCTCCTGCTCAGCTGCGGTCAGCGGGGCTGGGGCGGAGCAGGAGGACACGTGCTTTTGGTAACCACTCAGAGACACGTCCTCCTGCAGACAGAGGGACAGGGAAAGCATCAGGGGGTGGTTATTGCTGCAGGGCTGGATGCACCCCCAGACTTGAGGCTGCATCTGAGCAACCCAGCAGGTCTCAGGCTCTCTCCCCACTGGGAGCACCAACCCAAGCAGTGCTCTCAGATGCCTCCATGCAAATCCCATGTTCAATTTTAAACAGTGTTTGAGACTGCCTGTGCCCATTCAGACCACCCTGCTCCTCCCCAGACACCCGTGGCTGTGGCAGCATGGCTCCTCCAGCTCATTAACAGAGCCAAGGAGCACAAAAGTGAGAGGGAAAGACAGAGACCACGGCTGGTGAGCAGTGGAGAGGGGCACCAGAGCAGGGATGCTCCCTGGCTCCCATGGGCAGCAGAAGCCCCAGAGAGGGTGCATCAGCAGGAGGCTCTTGCTGTGCATGCAGCGCCCCCTACAGAAAGCCCATGGAAGAGAAGAAACCTCCAGCCAAGAGCTGCCAGGGAAGTGCAACCAGATGACCCTGGCACGGCAGCAGCTCTCGCTGCTGGGGTGACACTGCCACCACCTGGCACTTCTTCTGCTCAGAGTAAAGCTCTGATTCTCTTCAGAGCCTTCCTCCCACCTCTTCCACAGTCTCCATCACAGACTGGCCGCAGCTGTGCAAGCAGGAGAAAGCGTCAGCAGCCACCCAAGAGACTAAAGTAGAGCAGGAACAAAACTCCATGCTGTCCCCACACCAAATGCCAGCATCCCATGTCCCACCTGGCTTCAGCGCCAAGCCCAGGGTAGGTTCCCAAAGCTCAGGGTTGAACCCAAAAGGCTGCCCAGGAACCACTACTGTACCTTCACCGTTCCAAACATCTCATCCTTTATATGCCCACCACCAAACTCCTTCTTCACCGTCGCTCTGGTGGCGGCGTACAACATCTTCAGCCGGACCTGCGGGAGGAGGGAGGCAGCAAGGACGGTCAGAGAGGAGACCCCCGCATGGTGGGACCAGAGAGCAGCACCCCTGCACAACAGGCGTCCGATGCTCGTGGCCACCGTCCCACCACTGGCTCCGCAAACCTCAGCCCTCCCTGGGAGTAACCACCCAGTTTCTATCCAGGCTGACTTCCAACCGTAGCATCTCCAGGTAGGGGGCAGCCATGAAAAGCCATCAGTGCTGTTTCCAGGACTGCCGGTGCGCGGCACAGCCTCACCAATCGCTGCCTGCAATTGCCTGGGCTATTCTGCGCTTTCCTTCCCCGTCCCTGAGCTCCAGTGCGCCACTTCTCGCCCACGCCTGGGTAAGAGGAGGCGCAAATACCGCCCGAGTCACCTAAAAGTGACTTTTGCCTTTTGGCACTTTTTTTGCATCATTCTTCTGCAAAACACAGGGAAGAGCTTTGGCAAGTGCTCCTTTGTGTGCTGTTCTTTTGCAGTAAGACAACACTTTATTGAAATATGTATATTAAAAAATATATTATTATAATAATATATATTATATATTATCATATATACACATGTGTATGCACATGTACACACGTACATGTGTACACACATACATACATGTATAAAATTATATATATGATATAATTTTATTATAAATGTATAAGTGTGTATATATAATAAAATATAGTTGTTAAATATATCTCAACAAACTGCAGAGGGTCTTTTTTATATAAGCATGTTATAATATATAAAGTAATACATAATAATAACGCATATTTGTTATATATACACATATATATGACAAGTGCACGTATTAGCAAGGCAGTACATCTATATAGCATATAGATTATATAATATATATAACATATATAGGTGTATATATAAAATACACAAATATATATAGGTATATATGTGTACATACACACACACAGATATATGTACATGTACACATGTACGTGTATACACACATACCCACACATAAAATTATATATCATTTTATTATAAATGTATATATGTGTGTGGATACATACGTGTGTATATATAATAATATGTATTTGTGAGATATATCACACACACACACATATGTCATATACATACGACAAGTGCTCGTGTTACCACATCAGTAAATCTCGGTCCCACTGAATGCCCATTACGGAAACGTGCTCAACAAGACGGCATTTTCCAAGTCGTGGCGCTGAAATCCCCCAGACTGCCACCCCAGCCAGCCAGCCCTGTTGCGCCCGCTCTCCGATGCCATCGATGACCCCGCAAGCCAGCCCAGCAGGTGTCAATGCCGGCCCAGCCACATGCAGCTCTGAGGGAACCAGCCTCCCTGGCCCTTTTGAAGGCTGATTTTGGAGCTGAGCCCGGAGATGGGCCAGCAGCCGCTCTGTGTCGGCCCTCGAGCAGAGCAGGGCCAAGCTGGACAGGCGGCCAGACGAGTCAGTGCCAGCCCCAGCTCTTCCCAGCAATGTTTTTGGCCAGAGCCTTGACGGGACATCTCCATCCCTGCCCTGTGGTCCCTACTGCTCCCCCCTCTACATCCCAGTCCCTCCATCTCCTCAGGCAGTGCTGCAAAGAGGACAGAGACACAGTTCCAGTGTATCTTACTGTATCTTGAAAAATTCCCGTCCCCAAAGCGGTCTCCACTTCTTAACCTGGGCACAGTGATGGAGGGTGTGAGCGCTTCTCCTCAGCCCCAGCTCAAAGTCAACTTGGCCGGCATCTCCTCCACCCTCCCCCTCCCAGAGCACATCTGTCCCCCCATGCTGGGGTGTCATTTTCTGGCATGGTGCTCACCGGGGAGCTGTCGGGGGACCAGGAGATGAAGAGCCACTCGTAGCCCTGGGCGTTCTGGCTGTCCAGGCGGTACAGCACGTAGCAGGGCTGCTGCTCATCCAGCAAGGGCAGCACGAAGGCATCGTAGTCAGCGTCCCAGCGCCGGGACAGCTCTTTGTGGGCTCCCAGCACAAGCTGTTCTGGAAGGAGAAGACAGAAAAAGTGGTGTTAGATGAAGGCAAGGCTGACATGGTGGCTCACCTAAGGGCTCACCGCAGCTTCAGCACCAAGAATGATGCCATCCTGCAGAAAAACCAAATGACGATCTCGAGCCACGTGCAGGAGAGTACACCCCCAGGGAGGCCCCCCAGGAGATGCCAACGGGGCTGTGGCTGCTGTGGAGGGGCTGGTTTTCTGCCAGCATCCCACTGCCTCCTGTCAACCATCTCCTCCCCTCCCATGCTCCTCACCGCTGAGGTCTACTCTCTGGTGACCACCTGTAGCCTTTTTCTGCTCTGCTCCCTCCAGCCACGTATTCCCCAACCATCCCTCCTTGCTCATGGGGGAATGCAAGACCTCCTCCATCCCACCTGAACAAGCTCTAGGGGCACTGGAATACCTCACCTAGGACACGAGGAACCACCTAGATCTGGGGTGCTGAGAAAAATAAAGGTCCCATAGCAAAAGCCAGGACAACGAGCAGAAGCTGCTCTCATGGAGTCAATGATCTTATAGGTCTTTTCCAACCAAATGATTTTACAATTCATTGGATTCCCCGTAACCTCAGAGGGTTGAAGCCCATGTCTGCAGGGACCAGAGCTGTCCCAGAGAGCGCAGCCTGGGGGGAACACCATGCTGCCAGGAAAGCCCCAGCCTCTGGAAGCGACCTACATATTTCATGCACGTGGTAGTGTCTCAAGTATCTGGAGGGTATTTTCTTCATCTGCTACGCAAGCGGCGGTGGGACAGGGAGCCCCGTGAGCTGGGCAGTGCTCGGCTGGAATTTAAATGCTGGTGCAGGCATCCTATGAGCATGAAACCCCCCAATGAGGGTCAAACTGAGCTTTGGGATGGCTGGATGGAAAAGCAAAACCACTGGAAACGATCAGCATAGGTTGCTGGAAAACAGCCTGTATTTTTGTTCCATTTTTAGATGCAGAAAGATCTGGGGGGAGACGTGGGGACTCAGAAGATGACGTTGGAAAATCCAGAGGTGCCAAAGCAAAATGGGCTGGGGCCTTGGACAGTCAGCACTTGCTGGGATGCTCAGCCTGGCACGTGCCCTGCCCAAATCTCTGCCCACAGCCCCGCTGCCCCTTGGGAGCTACGGAGCCCCTTGGCTGGGGCACAGCGCCCTCCCTCCCAACCCACCCAGCTCAGCAGCTCCGAATCCTGTAGCAGGAAAGATTTTCAGGAAAACAGTTGAGGAACAAAGGCTTTGGCATGAATTACTCTCACCCTCCCCTTCCAGCCGAGCAGGGCATTCCCCCACCAATGGCTGCATAGCCCTTCCCTGCCCAACGCCACCCCTGCCACCACACGCTGAACCCACAATTATTTGTACACAAGGGGGACAGGCTACCGGTACAGTAACAAGGACAGCAGAGAAAAAGGTGCTGAAAATACTTTACCTTCAGCAAAACTACCTGTTTTGAGAAAGAGGAGCATAAAAACCTCAACGTACCCTCAAATAAACATGAAGCCCTGCAAATGGATTTGTGCATCGCAAAGACCCGAGATCCCCAAAAGATCTCAACAAAGAATCTCACCCAGCCAAGCCCAGTGGCAGGATCGCGGGTGCCTCCATCTGCCAAACATCCCGACACCTCGCGCATGAGGCAATCGGTGCCGAGTCACTCCAGGCTATTCCTGGGCTGCGCCCAAGCCAGGCCCCAGCCGTGTCACCGTGAGCCAGCAGCCTCCAGCTTTCCCCCAGGCTGGAGGAGCCGCTCATTCCCCCGCCTCCCATCGGGCCCTTCAAAGCTCAGCACAACCCATGCAGGGCCAAATTTTCCTCCCTGGGAAGAAGCGGGAAAGGGAAACCCAGAGCAGCCACCCTTCAGCAAAGCATCATCGTCAGCACTGGCTATTTCAGGCTCCATCTCTGCAGGGCACTGCTGCTGGAAAAAGCGCAGCTGAGGGCGTTTCTGCCCTGGAGGTGCCCCCAGCGCTCAGCCGCAGGCAGGCTGCCCTGCTCCAAAATGCCCGTACAAGGCAGCCCTGCCTGCAGCCCTGGCGGGCGCCACAGGAGCACAGCACAGGAGCTGAGCGCCTGCAAAGCTAAACGTACAACATCACCTACATGCACCCAACACATCCACAAAAGTCCACAAAACCAACCTTGTCCAGAAACCTGCCAACAGCAAGGAGTAGAGCATCATCTAAAACCATGTTGGACTACAAGCCGCTCTCGTGCCCTCGAGGTGACCAACCTTGGTGCACAACCTGCTCCCCTCGACAGCTCCTCCATCCAACCTCAGCTTCTCCCAGCAGGCCCCCATAGGCAACATCAGCTCAAAGAGCTCCCAAAGGGTTGTTCAGCCAGAGCTGCTGTTCTGGGGACACCCGGACACAGAGCATCTGCCGTAAGGCTCCTTGCACCATCTTCCTCTCCTTCCACCCACCATTGCCTGCTCCAACATGCCCCAAGTCTAATGCCCCATAGGGCAGAAGGTTCTCTGCAAGCCATCAAGCGGGGCTGGAGGCTCCTCTTCCACATTCTCTGTGCAGGCAGGGCAGCTGGCATGTTCTGCCCAGCTGGCTCGGGACACATCCCTTCCAGGGTCAGCATGCTTGAGTCCGTCTGTCCAGCTGTGACATCTGCCTGGCTGCTCATACTGCCGAAGGTTCTTGTCTGGTGGGTAGCAGCAGGCTGATGCCCTCTATGTTAGAGAAAAGAGTGGTGGCCCAGAAGGACTGAGCACCTTGTCCCCAGTCACACAGGAGGACAGCCAGGAGGTCCCTGAGCCAGGATGGTGGGACCACTGCCACCTTGTCCCCAGCAGACCAAGCCCCTCAGCGCAGAGATGCTCCCGGGTCTCCTCCTTCTACCTGCCTCCCCACAGGAGCCTCGGGCCCTGCCACATCTCAGAGGCTTCTGCAGACCCCCAAGCTCCTCCAGAGCTGCCCATAGCTGGTCCAGGCCAGGAGAAAGGAGCTGGCAGGGTGGGGGTGCCAGACTGGGAAGCACAAAGCACTGCCAAGCAAGGTTGGTCTGTGAAGCAGCTGCTGCCACCAACACATCAGACAGATAAACATATCCCATTCAGCCTGAGCGGAGATGGTGGGACATGGCTTCCACTGATGGTAAAAAGCTTCCCTTGCTGGTGTCGGCAGCCACAACCCAAAGCCCTAGCACCCTAAGTTCACGCTTAGGGGCATTCATGACTTAACCTAACACAAACCTACTAAAAGCAAAAGGAGCCAAGAGAGCAATATCATTGTCAAAGTTGCTCCAAAGAAACAACGCAGACATCGCATCTCAACACACAGGGACCTCGCCGAGGACAAAGCCAACACCACCGAACCTTGCACTGATCCTGTTGATGTGTCCCGCACATTTCAAATTGTGCTGCTCTTCCAAATGGGGCTCCACAGCCCCTCCGAAGGCCAGCACAGGCCCCTTACAACCATGTCCACCTGGTCCTGGTGGCCCACCCAAGGGAAGTGGTGACAGCAGCTTGGCAGGGCATTAACGTCCCTGCTGTGGTGAGAAGCAAGTCATTCATATGCAATTGTATGAGGCCGAGGCAATGGAAAACCTACACCGTGGAGGCTCCCCGCTGGGATGCTAAATCAGTGCTTTGCTTGGCTTGCTTGTTCGATGGATGTAGAGGCCACCCAAAGGCACCTTTCCATGGGGCAAACATGGGCAGGTTGGTGCCAGCCTGCAAACCGGGCTAGGGGCAGCCCCCTGCACAGGAGCAGGGGCTGGGATGGGATGGGTTTCCAAGTGAGGCACCCCTCACGGGATGAAACAGCGGCCCCGTGCTGAGCCCCTCACCAGGGAGTATCCCCCTGCCCACCCCTGCCCAAAGCATCTTGTGGCCTGCCGTGGGATGCCACATCCAAGGAGGAAGGTGCTGTGCAATGCCCCCGAACCACGGCACCCGCAGTAGCTTCTCACAGGGCTCCTGTAATAAAATTTGACATAGCGGCAGCAAAAGCTCCCCAGAGCCCAGCACTGATCCTGGACACCAGCATCAGTCCACCAGCAAAGTCGCTGCTCCCCTCGGGGAGCTGCTCCAGGGTGCCAATAGCTGCTCACCAGCACACCCAAATTTTGGGCTTGGATTTTAGCTCCAGGCTGCTGTGTGCCAGGGAGCTCCAGCAGGATTTTCCTTGGGGTTTCCAAAAACATGAGCTGGCACCGCAGCCACAAAGAGGAAAGGAGAAGAGGCAAAACAGAAATCATGGTGTAAATCAAAGCACTTAAAAACGTGACTTACCGTCCTCGATGATGACCTTGATGAGCCGAACCGAACCGTTTCGGGCTTTGGCAAAAAAGTCCCTTAATTCCGTGGTGGCTGAAAGAACCAGAAACATCGCAATCAGATTTAGTAGTCAAAGCAGATGTCGGGCTGCTCGGCGACCAGCCGGGGAAGAGAACAACTCAGCAGGACAGAAACTTAAAAATTGAAAGAAAAATAAAATCTCTGGTGCCAAAAAAGTTATAATAAAAGTAATAACACAAAACCCAAACAGCTGGGAGAGAAGTGCTGCGTCTCCCCGAGGCGTCAGAGTTAAATAGCAGCTGGGAGCACATGTGATCCAGAGAACTTGATACTTGGCCTGGGTGAACATAATCACCCAAATTTAGACGATGGCTTGGCCGGTGCAGGCGGGGAGAGCTCAAGTGACAAGTTTATTCTCTTTACAGAGCGGCAGGCTTTGTGTACCGGGGGTGGCTGGAAGATGTCCCGACAGGCTGTGACGTCCTGGACTCGTGACACATGTCAGGGATGCTGCTCCTGAGGCAGCCGGGGACCAACACAGCTCCAAACTGGAGGCACTGGTTTGAAGCCAAGACCGTGGCAATGGCCGCGGGGTTTTGCTCTGGAGCAGGCAGGGCTTTGGTTACCAAAGACTTTTGGGAAGTGTTTTCAGGAGCCACCTTCCTCCTCATCCCCTCTCCCCGAGCACCAGGCACCAGCAACTGTCTTCAGCATCCTACCAGGAGGCAACAGCAGGCAGTGGACAATGAAGGGGCGGCTCGCAACCAGTGTCGGAGGCTCACTCTGCCCACCTCAAAAGCATTGCGGGCACAGAGCTCCCCATCCCACCCGGGACATGCTACGTGTGAAGGCAATGCCCAAGAAATGCGGCTTGCAGGGGCCAAGCCCCCTGACAAGAAGCATCTCCCAGCCCAGCTCCCCCTGAAAGCCCCTTCATTTACGCGCCTGAGCCCCTTCCCGCATGCGGCCCTGCAGCCAAGGGAGTCTGTGCTGGTTAGAAATACTAAAGAAACTGGCATTGCAAAGATCAGACACCCAGGCAGACGCCCCTCTTGGTCTACGCCAGAATCTGTGCTCGGAGTCGCCATCAGCAGCCCCCTGCTCCCAGCGCTTTGCCATGCCGCCTCCCTGTTACCCATCACCATGCTGGAGCAGCCTGCAGCAGGAAGGAGCCCTGCTTTGGTGCCCGGACCCGGAGAACATCCACAGCCAAGGCACTTTGCAAAGAAAGCCATCGCTACATCAGCCAGAAAGGTGCGGTGCCCAGAGAAGCCATCCCCTGCTGGCAGGGGCCGTATCCCTTCTGCTTCTGTCCCACCAGCAGTGGGTACCACCCTTTGGCGCAGCCCCCCAGCATCGCTGTGGGAGGACGTTTGCCATCACCCACCCAAGGGACACATGGAGCCAATGACTCTGTCACACGCTGGTGCCCTCTGTCCCCTGGAGGCAGACCCCGGGCTGGGGCGCTGCCCACAGCTCCCCCAGCCCTGAGGAATGAGCGGGCATGGATGAGTCCCCACGCACAAACGCTGACGATGCAGTCAGAGAGGTGGCCAGAGATGTCCCGGGGAGCCCCCCGGGGAACTCCTGCTTGTCCCCCCCAAGCAATGCATCAGAAATACATCTGCCCCACCAGCTCAAAGCCTGCCCTGATCACAGGTCCACCTGGTTCCTCCTCCCAGGGAGAAGAGGCACAGATGAGGAAGAGCTCCCAGGCTGGTATCCTGCAAACATTGGCGCTCCCGTAGAAACCCAGAGATGCTGCCCCAGCAGCGCCTGCAGGTACCGGCACACAGGCACCCCAGCAAAGGCACGTCAGTCCCTAGTGGCATTTTAGGGAGGACACATAGAAGGGTTGCTGGGGTAATCCCACCATGAGAAAACCATCCTTCTCCCTCCATCAGCATCAAGGCATGTGGCTCTCCCAGACCCCAGTGCAGATGCTCACCCTCTCTGAGCACTGGCTGGGAGCTCAGCCTGCTCCCGCCATTCCCATTCAAGGCTGCTCTGATATTTTTAGCCCCTTTCTCTGTTGAGAGCAGCTCTTTCCTTCCAGCAGCATCTGTGGTTACTGCAAACACACCAGGCAGAAGAGGAAGAGGAAAAAAAAAAAAAAAAAAAAAAGGCATTTATACACCCAGGAAACCTTGTGCAGGAGGCAAAAGCTCCTAATAAGCATTAAGATTAAGCTTCTCTGGTTCCTATTGCACTGCTAAAATATGAGAGAATAACATTGGTCTTGGATGTTTCTACAGCATCAATTTCAAGGGAGAAAGGAAAGTTCTGCAGTGCTAACAGGCTTGCAAATCCCTCTGGCCTGACCCCATCCTTCCCAGACCCCAAGGACACACAGGGGTCTGGAAAATCAGGAGTCTGGGCAAATGCAGCCCCCCAGCTCCCCTGGAAATGCTAGGAGTGCCCAAAGGTATCGGCTTGACAGCTGGGACGATTGACAGTTGAGTGATCGACAAGTGACGGCCAAGCACCGGGACCCATGTGGGTACAGAGGGGCTTAAGGGGATGGGGAGAAGCGCAGATGCTGCCGGAGAAGCCGAGCGCATGATGGGAAATACCGCAAAGTCTGCCAAGAAGGGAGATGCTTTCCAGGGGAGACAGCAGCAGATCTTTCAAAAAACACAAAGCAGGCTTCCGAGCTTTAATTCTGCTGAAATAATAAAAAACAACAACAAAAGCAATTTTCGTTTAAGTGAAAAAAAATCACTGGGGTGTCTTTGATGTCCCCTTCTGTCTCTCAGGAAGCAGTGCCAAGAGCCAGCGAGGAAGGAGAGGAATGAGCTAGTGAGGGTTTTCAGCATGAGCAAGCAGGCTTCCGAGCTTTAATTCTGCTGAAATAATAAAAAACAACAACAAAAGCAATTTTCGTTTAAGTGAAAAAAAAATCACTGGGGTGTCTTTGATGTCCCCTTCTGTCTCTCAGGAAGCAGTGCCAAGAGCCAGCGAGGAAGGAGAGGAATGAGCTAGTGAGGGTTTTCAGCATGAGCTCAGCAACTGCTTCATTACAGCATGATTACAACTTAATTGGCACAGCAGACTTGACGAGATGGTTTGCATGCCTGGAATATTAATATAGAAGTCCACAGCCGGCTCTGGAAGAAAGGCAAGGAGAAGACCTTACCCTGGAGATAGAGGTGAGCGGTACCTCCACCCCAAGGCATCTCCATGCCAGGAAGTCTCCAGGACCCAACTCAAGGGCTGAAAAAACCCACATGTGGGGAAACGACAAAAACCAGCTTCTTTTTCCTGTTCATCTCCTTCTGCATTTGACAATGAGGTGAGGTGGGAAAGAAGATGCTGGGCACACATCAGCACGGCCAATGCACAGGGCCAGCCACGACCATCCTCATGTCCGGATGGGGAAGGGAGGAGAGATGGGGCAGAGCACAGGAGGGGGATCCCCACGTCCAACTCGCCCTCTAGCCACGGGTTCCTGGAAAATCCTGGAACAAATAATCCACAAACAAACCCAAGGTGCGCTACAGCCAGAGGGGATCTACCAAGACCAAGTTGCATGAGGTCAACCTAGCTTCCTCCAGCAGAGCCACAGACCTGTGGGCTTCAAGGGTCTCATCTCAGCTTTCTAAGTGTCTCCAAGTGTTGGAAGCCAGCTTGGGAAACACGATGGTGGCGAACCTCTACAGCACTGGCGCAAAACTGCACGGACAACTCACTCTGGGAGGTATCAGAGGTTGGATCGAGCAAGGTTTCCTGGGGACCTGTGGTGGGTCCAGGTTTAGTCCACATTTCCACGAACACTTCTGGCAATTGCAATAGTGCTTTCTGCAGCTGTGAGGTGGGAAGCTAGAGGAGGTGCAAGCGCGCGCTGGAGAAGAATTCACCGTTCTCTCAGGAGACTGGAGAAACGGGCTGGAAAAAAAAGAAATAGGATGAAACTCAATAGGAAGCAAAATACCATAACTAGGAGAAGGACCAGCTACACTGATGCAGGGCAGGGTCCAGCAGCTCCAGAGGAGAGAGGTAGGTCACAAGCCAAGTTCAGGTTAATCGCTTCATATTGTTGCAGGCAAAGTCATTTGTGAAGGCACAAACAAGAGCATGATCACATTATTTGGGTGCTGACAAGGCTGCAGGCACAGCACGAACAGCATGTCTAGGCTCAGCATCGTGCAAGGAGCAAGGCACCAGACAGACGGCACCTATGCCAGAAGCAACCAAAGGAACCAAGGCTGGTCAGCCCAGAGGAGAGAAGAAAAGCAATGAACAGCTTGTACTGGTTCTCTAGTCAGAAACATTGTGTCCCACCTCAGCATTTGGGAAATCTTGCAATGAGGGCGATCAAACCCCGGGAACAACACCATGCTTCCATCCCTGCTCCAGAAAACCTCCAGAAACACCCCCGGGATGCTCCTGCTTTGAGACAGGGTGAGCTCAGTGGCATCTTGAGGAACCTTCTGGCTACAAGGCAGCCCTGCCATCAACCCTCCTGGCAGATGTGGTGGGCACAAACACTCATGTTCCTCAGCCACCCTGCCACAACAGCCCAAAAATCGCCTCCAGCCACCGAGTCGTGCAGCACCTCCCCTCTCCCACCTGCTGCAGATGAGTTGTCCTCTGTTCATGAGCCGCCTGCATTTAGCAGCCTGCTAACAGCGGGTCCCAGGTCCGCTTGCACCACAAAACCTCCCTGCCCAGTGGCACCTGCCTCCCATTTGGGACAGGGGGCTGAGCAGAGCCGGCCATTGGCGCCAGGGCAGCCAGGCTGGGCCGCTCGTGGCATGGCGGGGAGGTTACAGCATGGCCAGCAGTAGCCTTCAGGTGGCCCTGACCATGCAGGCAAGCTGCCAGAGAAGAGCAGCTCATGGTGGGAAGGCATGGCAATGCCTCCCCTCTCGGCAGCACCAAGCAGGCACGGAACAAAGCCTGAAGACCCCATGCCTCGGGGACCAGTGGGGCAGCCAGACCCTTGCACGTACTCAATGGATGTGCTGTTGGCAGCCAGAGCGGGCAGCTGCCCTGCCCCGGGATGCAGCCATTTGTGTCGGTCCCCAGGAGATTTCAGTGCTGGGCTCAAAGCATCACACTCCCCCAAAACCACTGCGAGATGGAGCAGTGAGACAGTGATTGTGGGTACCACCCTGCCACAAAAGCTGTTCCCGAAGCCAAGCCTTTTATTGATGTTTACAGCCCCAGTTAGCTTATCTGAGCAGAGCCAGGCCATAAGGAGGCTGGAGGGAGACAGAGGCACCACGAAGTGATGAAGCTGTAGCCAGGGCAACGGGCCGGTTTCTCCCTGGGCGTGCCAGGGTGCCAGGGGAGCTGCCTGCGAAACTCCCAGGGAAGTACCTCAGGATGGGGATGGAGGTGACAGCTGTGCCACCACCCCCGCACCTTTCTCTCCTCCATCCTCTCACACTGTTGGGAGAGCAACAGGTTTTTGCTTACTCGACCCTTCCCAGTCCCTGCCACATCCCGATGACAGCGCCCAGCTCCCAGATCAATAATACATGCTCCCTGAAACAGATGCCTATCTCAGTACAGCAAGCCACCTCACCCTCCCGGCGGGAAACCCGAGCCTCTGGCCATCAATCTTTCATTCCCTGGACGTCATCTTCAAGTTGATGTGACTCCCAAGTGGCTGCTTCCCTTTCACCGTCCGAGGCACAGCATGCCCGGGATGCAACAGGGGAAACTGAGCCAAAAATCCAGCCACAAACCTGGGCAAAACTTGTCCAAGCTCCAGGGATGCTTGGCCAGACAGTAGTCAAGATGCCGATGGATAAGACAGTTACACCCGCATCGTGCACACCTTCCCTGCACAGGCAGCTCTGCCTGACTCCTGCCAGGGCGTCCAGTGAAGGGCACAGCTGCAGCAAGGCACAGAATAGCTGTTGCTGCTGCTAAAATTCTTCCTTTTCAGTCTATCCCAGTGTAAATCCGTCACACAGTGCCTGCTCAACCCACTTGCTGCAGAGCGCTTTTCTGCTGACAGACTTGGCTGGGCAGTTTAAGCGCTAAGAGGATTTTATTTCTCACCATGGAAAAAAAAAATATGTCCTTGCAGGGAATCTTTTTTCAGGGAAAAAGCTGAAAATGTCAGAAGAAAATGGAAAGAAGGGGGAGGAAAAAAAAACCTGAGCAAGAGAGGACACAACCAAGGCTTTTTTCCTCATTTTCCACAGGGTTAGGCCATATCCTGCAGGATTTCATGCGAATGACTCCTGGTCCCTATTGCAAATCCCACATGGAGACTTTCAGCCACCCACTTCTCAACACCTGTTTTTCCACGTGCGTGCCTGGGACCCATCTTTTCTCCACTTTGGCACCTCAGAACAGAGTTAGTCAGCCCTTCCCTTGCTCCGGGGTAGGCAGTGCCCACCCTGCAGGCAGTATCGGTCGAATCCTGCTGGCAACACAGCATCCCAGAGCCAAGCATGCACAGTCCTGCTTTGCCTGCAGAAGTTGCTGGTTGCTGTTCCTCTTCTCTGCCCAGTAAAGCCACCACTGGGAGCACTGGTTTGGGCATCGGGGGTGGACAGGGATCCAAGGACAGACCCTGGCAGTGATCTCGTTGCGTTTAGAGCCTCTCAACTCGTGCTTGCCAAGGGATTTCCTCTACCCCGTGACTGTAGGGACTTAACTGCAAGAGGTTTGACATCTCAGGGTATTTGTCTGGTCTTCCATCCACATTGCCGCTTTCGTCATCCTGACGTGCCACCAGCTGGGATGTAGGCCATTGCCCCAAGTGAGGCGTCAACCTCTGAGTTGGGTGCTGGGCCCAGAAAAGAGCTCACAAGCAGGGACCAGCCCCTCAAAACCGCCCTTGTAGCAGCCTGGTATCCCCTGTCCCCCCCACAGACACCAGGGGCCATGGACCAGCCATCCCTTTTCCTCCTCCTCTTTCTCTGTTGTGGTGATGCATGCCCAATTAGGGGGTAACCCCTGGCATCCCAGCCATGAAGCCGCCCCCCCAACTCAGGCAGCCGGGCACCTCGGGAGCCAGTGCTGCCTCCCAGCATGGCCGGAGGAAAGGGGCTGAGGAAGCAGTGGATGGGGAGGGAGGCTGCTGCTTTCTTCTCTGCCTTTCTCCTCGCTGAAGAACCAGGAAGCCACCCGCTTTCGAAGGAGACCTTTGCAGACCCAGCAGCTCCCAGGTCCCCCCTCTCTGCTTCCTTTTTTCCCCACCTGACATCATTCCTGTTTTTTTTATGGTTATGCTTCTCCTGAAGCAAATAGCTGCTCCTACCAGACGCCTTCCCAAGGCAAGATCCAGTCCTGGGGCAAAGCAGACGCTCAGCCACGGATGGGAACAAAGGTCCTTCCCTATTCCCTAGAAAAAACCAGCACTAAATTCTATTTTTTTGGTTGAAGAAACATCATGCATTTGATTTCTTTACTTTCTAGATGGAAAAAAAAAAAAAATCCCCTTTAAGAGACTTTTTCTCTCTACTCAGAGGTCACCAAAGAGCTCCCAGAGGCAGCTGGGTGACCTCCCACCAGCATCAAAGCCCTGGTTCAGCATCATCTTCCTAAGGCACAGTGGCCAGGCCTGGCTTTTAAACTTGAACAGTGAATGCTGCCCCCATCTAATGCCACTCAGGCAGAACAGGACTGCAAAAATACTTGGCAAATCCTCCTAGCTGTAGTTAAAAAGCAGGTTTTTAGCCCCAAGAAGCCCACAGCAACCCTCGGTAGCTTCCAACCACCTCCCCAGCCTGGCAGTCTCCATGGCAGCCCGGTTTTCTTGCCAGCACCTTCAACAGAGCTGCCACAGATACATTAAAAAAAAAAAAAATTAGCTTCTTGCCTCTGCACAAAAGCCTCGGCCCTAATTAAACACCCCAAACCTGCAGCTCTGCACCCCTGACAGAGTGCTGCTATCACTAGCCCTCCTGGGGACCACCAGCTTCTCCCCAAAAGCCAGGACGACTCGGTAGCATCGCAGCGGGGGACTGCTCCAGGGGCTGCCCCATTCACCATGTCACCCTGCTCTCACGCTGATCTACCACAGCAGCGACCAAAATCTCTCACCAGCTTGCCCACAACCTCCCCTAAGCTAGTCGGCGGGTCTGATTGTAATTCCCTTGGGAGCAGATGCCCTCCTGTAAACAGGGGAGAAATGAGAATGAAAAAATACAAAGTGACACGCGCACACAAAAATAACAAGGCCCCAGAAGCCAGGAAGGCGTGGAAAATCCCTCCTCCTTGGCAAACAACAGACCTCAGCATCTCAGCAGAGGGGATGAAGGTAGCAGCGGGATTGCTGCTCCTCATCCGATACAGAATCTGCTGTCTGCTGAGCAAAAGAATTAATTTGATCACTGTGCCAGCGTGGGGAGGACTGAAATATCACAATGCTGCCCCCTCCCCCCCCCCCCCCCTGGGGGGGTTCCCTTAAAGCCCAGAGCACCCCAGTTCAGCATTGCAGGTGTCAGAGGAGCAGATCTGCATTCAGAGAGGAAACAGCCGCTTCCTGGAAGAGGGACCGTGCCGCGGGGGATGGAGGAGCAGACCCAGACGAGCCACCCAGAGACATCCAAGATGCTGGGAGAGCAAGACCACCCAACACAAGTTATTTTTTGTAACCCCAGGGAGGTTTTTACACTACCCCCAGCTTGGGGATCTGCTGCCTGGGCAGAGCCATTGGGTCTATCCCCACCCTATACCAGCCACAGCTCCTCAGGGGAAGTCCAAGTCCCTTCCCCTTTCCAGCAGAGTGCTGCTGACAGCACATTGCGTCCTACAGGCAACGATAACTCGCGGCGACTCTCAGCGCTGGTGTCGGCAGGGTTCGCTGAGCGGTGGACAACCAAGGTCAGCGAAGGTCGGCGCTCTCAGAGAGCAGCTCAACTGCTTTGCCAAACCAGCACATCCCCCGGCAGCCGCGGAGGTGCCAGGGACGATGGCATCAGCAGCGTAGGAGCAGACGGGCAAGGTGGCAAGCAACAGGCAGCAGCCTCTTGGGGCGCAGGCAGTGCAACAGGCCTTGCCTGCACCAAACCCCACGGGAGAGCTCTGCAGAGAAAGGCTGGCACATTGAGAGTTCAGGTGGGTGCTGGGGTCCATCCC